CTCAAGGGCGAAGGTGTTTATGACGACCGCGATAAAGTGGTGGAATGCGTTGCATTGGAGCAATTCTACCGCTGCATCGAGGAGGATGTCAAACTTTGGCTGCAGGACAAACTTGGTGAAGTACAGCTAAACAAGGCAGCAGAGTTAGCTGAGGAGTATTATACTCGCCGAAAGTTGCATAGCAGGGCAGTGCGCGTTGAAAAGGATGAAAGAAAAGAGGGCTTTTCAAAGAAACCTGATCAACGGAAACCCGCTCCGCACCGTAATTTCAAGAAGGACCCGTCTCTTACGAAGGACTGTGTAGGGGAAGGGCAAACAGAAGCGGAGAAATCGAGTGAGGTTTCTACCACACAGGCATTAGAACCGGAAAACAAACGGAAGCCGCTAATCTGCTACAACTGCAAAAAGGAAGGGCACATCGCGAGAAACTGTCAGGAAAAGTTTGCTTTCGCAACGATCCGAGAATCAGAAAAAAAACATTCGGTTGTTGGAGCCGTATCTCCAAGAAATTAGGGTGAATGAGAAAACGTGCCGAGCACTTAGAGACTCAGCGGCAACCATGGACGTTGTCCATCCTTCATTGGTGTCTCCGGATGACTTCACAGGAGAATGCGCGTGGATCAGGCAAGTCGCCGAGGAGCAGAGTGTTCGTTTACCAATCGCCACGGTTGTCATTGAAGGCCCGTTCGGTAAGCTTCGCACCGAAGTGGCTGTGTCTGCCGCGCTGAACGATCGTTTTCCTTATCTTTTCTCCAACAACTCGGAGCAGCTTCTCAAAGAGCAGGGCAAATCGTTCTTCCCCAACTTAGCGTGCATGGCCCTCACGCGATCGCAAGCGCGAAAGCTTTCGCAGGAGCTTGATCTGGTTCAATGCGGTGAACGCTCAAGTGACCTTGTCGGCGGGTCGACGGAACCTCAGAGAAGAAATTTTCCGCGTGAGTCATGTGAGCAGTCACGCGAGCGGCCCGTCGCCGAAGCGACCGGCACGGTCTCCGTGGAAAGGGGAGACGACATGGCGCCATTGAGTCTGAGCGAGAGGGTTGCAACGCTCTCGCCTGTAGCGGAAAGTTGGAGCGAGCTGCCGAGAGTTGATCGAGAGACGCTCATTCGAGAGCAGCATGAGGATCTCTCGATTGAAGCGCTAGTGGAAAGCCAAATTGAAGCGCTAGTGGAAAGCCAGAAAAACGCGGCAAAAGTGCTGTCGAAGGAGCACTACGAGGAATCGGTGAAGAAGCGTGCTTTTGAAGTTGATAATCAGGTAATGCTGCTGCAGCCGTTCAAAAAGAACAAGCTTGAGGTTGATTGGGAAGGGCCCGCCAAAGTATTATCGAAGCCTTGCGATACAAATTATGAAGTGAAATTAGGAAGGCGGCCGGACAAAATTTACAACTTGATGAAATCATACGTTCAACATCAAGCGGTCGTAAATCTGTTGTTGAATGCTTCAAAGGAAGAGGAAGCAGAAATTTTGAGTTCTAGTGAGGTAATTGAAGGGGGATCGAAAGTAATCCGGGAGCAGATAAACCTAGAGCCTAGCTTAAGTGAAGGAGGACCTGAGAAAGAGGACCTGAGAAAGATTGGTTCCGAGTTTGAAGACGTGTTTTCGGACCGCCCCGGAAACATGAGGGTGATCGAACACGATATCGAGCTAAGCGGTGAGGAGTCAATCCGTAGCAAGCCGTATCGTTGTTCCCCTGTGCAACGTCGAAAATGTGAGCCGCTCTTGGTGCCGCATAGGTATCGTCGCCTAAAAGTGGCCGGTTACTGAAGTGGAGCATGTTGCTCCACAGCGCAACTTTGACGTTCGCTAAAGAAAAAAAGGAAAGGTAAACGCTAATGCAGGTGCATTGAGCAGTGCGTTCCAGCTAGTAACTTCTCAACCTTTCGGTTTCTGGCTGGCGATTCGGGGCAAAATTTTGACCTCATCACGACCTGGGCTGAGCGCTCTCGTTCAGAGTGATCTCAAGGGGCCAACTTTAGGTGGTATTCTAATTCGTTGCGTTGTTGTAATTGTGAAAAATTCCAGTTCTTACTTTAGGAGTCTTGTGTCCCACATGTGCCTCTTGATGTAGAGGGAACAAAATTCCGATAGACACGTAGATAGGTATATGTTGTACTATACTTTGTCTGGTGTTCTGTCGGGTGACCGAGGGCACTTGCTTGTGTCGTGTGTTGTCTGTTGTCGAACCGTTCTTAGCAAGTTGCAGAACCATCGACAAGTGCTGAAACCGAAGATGGTCAGAAGAGACGAGCGAAGTTGGCCAGCAAGTTGTGGCGACAAGCCAGTGGAGCTGGGATCCGACGTCAAAAATGGGATGTGTTCCCGGAACAGTCTGGAGCTGTAGTCTCCCCATGGCCCTGGAGGCGAACCTGGAGGGACCTGGCGAACGAGCGCACCTGACATCCGAGCCCCGTGGAAGCAGCTCGTCTTTCCGGTGCATTGTCTGGCGGCGGGGGTGCTGTTATGCCAGCGAGTCCTCGTCAAACGTCCGTGCCTCTGAAAAAGGCAATCTGGGTCAAGGCCAGCCCGCAGTCCGCCTGGCGCGATCAACTCGACGGCGTGAACACGCGCGGCGCATCTCTGGCCCACGTGCATTGAGTCAGCTGCGCACGTGACAGCGAGCCGGCGTCCTCGTGTCTGGTGGTCTGACGCATGGCGCGGCAACCCCATTGGAGGAGTCTGCCCTGACGACCAGCGGCGCTTCTGATTGGACATTTTGGTTGGACCCGGTGTAAATAAAAGAAGCCCTGCGGCGCGTCGCGATCGGCGGTCCTGAGAGAGGAGTCCCCATGTCGGAGAGCCGACATGTGTATGAGTCGGCGGTCTTAGGCGAAAAGTTGACCTATGTATTAGAGAGGAGAGCTCGGCTCTTCGAGTCTCTGTCGGCCCCAGTGCCGAAATTGTAACGCCTCTGTATATATGCTGTACATAAACCTTGTTTAACTCACCGTCGTCTCGTCCGCTCGTCTTATCAGCTCTGCGCAGAAGCAGTCGCGAGCTGATAAACATACGCTACCAAACGGCTGGTGACCTTCCCGGCGGAGTTGGAAGCAGTGACGCCATCGGGACCGTGTTGGCGTCGCCGTCCTTCGCAACAGTGGAGGTCAGCGGTGGGATTTCGGAGGTGGCTTCGCAACAATATGGAGAAATAGGGAGGCTTGATGAGGGGTGACTGGCATGGCCCAACGAGAGACGCACAAGAATTCACACGAGAAACGCAAATTTTATGGTGATGGCTCTGCAGCAGTACTTCGAACGAATATGTGTCCCTGCAGCTCTATGTACTAGGCTTGTGCGAATATTCGAACGTTTTGATTATCCGAACGAATATTACAATATTTCAATTCGCTTTGATTCGCATTTAGGCTATTGAAAATGTCGAAATAAACGAAGAGCTGCATGTTAGTCCACAATTAATTCATTGTAAAGGTAATTTTAATGCAATGAAAACATACTAAACCATGAAAGCACCAATCGAAATGTTTATTATTCCGCAAGTACCTTTTTGTGCAAGTACCTTTTTGTGCAAATACCTTTTCTTGAGGTGCTTGCTAAAGCTGGCTTCTCCACATCATAGAAAATTCAAGGGGGAAGCTGCCTTCAATGCGTGGTTATCAATTTTTTTTTTTAAGACTTGTGTTTTCGCTATACGCTGTCCTTTAGGAGAAACCAATTTTTTACGTAGCTAGCCAGTGTGCTTGCTTAATCTCGCGTCTCCACACAGCGTGCCATACGAAGAGAAGCTGGCTTTGGTGCGTCTATATATTGAGAAAGGGTAGTGTGCTCCTGTGGATGTTTAATAGGAGAGACGCCCTGGGCATGGCAGATGTAGACAGTAGTGTAACCACTTACTACGACCGGGTACGAGTATCTGCGGATAGCCTTATCCCCTCGAGCACGTAGAAAACTGGAGACCCTTTCTTGCCCTCTTTGCTGGGAGTATTCCTGCCATATTCTGGAAATAGTCCAGTTATCGCACGACGTTGACGCTATTCACGATGCTGTTCTCTATTTGCAACGCCAGTGACAGAGGTACCAATACGAATATGGTTGTGGCGCATGCGCGTATGCATTTGCTGTGACCGCCACGACTAGCGAGATGCCGATTAACGTCGAAGGCTCCACCGTTGTTAGGTACGGGGACTACACCACTGTAGCGCTCGAATGCTTAGGGAAGTTAACGGTGCGCTTTCGCAGCTGCATTATTATTTTAACTTTCTTTTAGCCTGCAGAATGGTCTTTTATGCCAGAGAATGTGAATATCGGGGCTCTTTTTTAAAATTGTTAACAAGTACGCGTTTCTGAAGGCCCGTGCGGTTTGACCAACTGCTCATTTATTATCTTGTATCTGGTCCCTTTCAGAGCACGCGAATCGTCAACGGTTGCCTGAAGGACAGTTAGCTTTCCAAAGCAGAATTACTGTGATAAGAAGTTATTGGGGGACTGCTGCGTTATCAGGTCCCTCCCATTGACTTACTTGGCGTCGGGATGATCTGAATTATCTGAGCGAAGTATCATATTACGCCAATACTACCGCCCCGTCGTCGGCAATGCTTCTCTTTACGCAATTGTTCTTGCACTATAGAAGCTTCACGTCCTCGTTAGTGCATCTTAAATTTCTCCTTAGGGATCCAGCTTAGGTTACTAGATTCTTCTTCGGCATCTTTAACGGTGATGTCTTCACCAACGACACAAAATAACACCGTTTTTTTACGCGAATCAGTCAGGCCACACACCCATCAAGCGTAATGTTGGTGAAACGTCAATTGTGGTTGCAGTGCTGGTTGCTTAATTTTATAAACATTAAAAACGTACTCATGTGAATCAAGCATCACGTCGGGTTAACGTCAATGGCATGCTAAAGCGCCATGCACTGAAGTTAGTGTGCGAGAGCTACGCGTTTTTTACCATCTTTTGAAACTTCGAATCAGTTTAAATATTTATCTTGACTGTTAACGCATAAGAATGTCCGAGGTTATAGTGAAAAAGAACAACAAAATACGTGAATGTGTAAGCTTTTATTTCTCTTTCGTCAAACAGCAGTAGTAACATAAGGGTGTTCTCTGCTTTAATGCCGCTGTTTTATTAATTTACTTCTGGCGACTGTTGAAAAATGCAGATTACAGGTAGTTTCTGCTCTGAAGCCTTGTCGATGCGTGTCTTCTCGGACAGGTTGCAAGTAATTAAAAAAGAAGAGTTCTGCCTAGGCAACAACGTGAGGTGATGCTACAGCGTGCGATGATCCCATAGCGGGTCGTCCAATACCGTCTTGCGCAGTTCATTCTTGTTCTCAGGTTGATTATTCGCTGTGGGAGTCGTCCTCGCAGTCGTCACATGGCGCGTCGTCACCGGACTCCTCCCCTACGCGCAAGGACAAAAATGCTGAGCAAAGTGATTTAGCATCGATTCTACCGACACAGATCTATCAACTTTGATAGGAGAGGCTCTGCTTTTTAATAGAGGATTTTACTAAGCTTTTCGTTTCTCCGTAGCGCGTGGACCAGAAGCGGCGCCTGGCTCTTACATCACTGCGCGTTGTCTAGCAACCACTTAGCACTACTGTGGCTCGCTTCGCATAAAAAAAAAAAACGTATGATGGCGTTGCTATGCCTTGTATAACATGGCAAAGCAAAAGGGTGAGAAAAAAAGTGATGTTTAGAAAAAAAAAAAACAAATGATCAACGCCTTCTTTATTTAAGATGCCTGACGAATGGCTTGTGTTGCCACAGGAGTCACCCAGCCTTCGCGGTGGCGCTCGCGACCGGCACTATCATTCCGTCGTTTTTTACTTGTGATCCATATGGGCGCGTCAGTCGAGAGTTATTCGAGATCTGCCATTATACACGACCATTTGGAGGCTATGCGAAATGTCGAGTTGTTGCACCGTCCACCACAAGTGGCGCTAGTGACTGACACTAATAAAATGAAGGAGGGAGTGGGTGTGGTAGCTCTTTTTTTTCTCAAGCGGCAGGCATCTAAATAGAGGAGGCGTTGGAAATGATAATGGTAGAGGGTAAATTATTGCATAGCCATTTAAAGCTTGATATAGCAAGAGAGCGGGAAAGGAAAGTGAGGGTGAGAAAGAGTGTAAGCCCACTAGCTCCGTTGTTTCCTGACCCTGCGCACAATTAGTGCATACGTGCCTCAATGTTTTTCACGTAGTGAAGGCCATATATCTCGCGGAATGGCATGCAATGGCTTGTTTAGTAGTCACATGATGTGCGGTTATTGCGAGAGATATAGGTGAATGTTGGTGAAGCACCCTGTTGTTACTTGCTGTTAATTGATGTTTGTCAGTTCATACAGCAGCGACGCACGAGAAAAAAGGTCACTCAAAAACATCGCCCAGCTTTTTGCCGTTGGTGCTGTTTTTCCGAGTATCAGTGCGCGCAATGAATGTGTTAGTTGGAGTTGCAGCTCGAAACGCACAATTTAAACAGACACTAAAGTCAAACAACAATTGACGTCAGAGTGAAAGCTCAATGTGTGACAACGTTTAAATTGACAGCACTGTCAGCAGCAATGCCCTATACTTACCGAGAAATTAAGGTAACCGCAAGAGAACGCAAGCGCTACGCGTAGGACATTCACAAAAGGATCTCGATGCCGTGTGAGGTACCACCTACAATTATTCACTAGCAATCGAACAAACTGCACTAAATAAAGAACCTTCCGTGTATCAAGAGACGAAACAGAATGCTGCTTGTTCGTTTCTGTTTGATTTATCAAAAAAAGATCCGCCGGACGTTACTATGAGGAATGGCACGACTGGTTGAAAAGTCAAATTTTCGCCTGGTTAAACTGGACAGGTTAAACTGGAACCTAATCACGTCTGCTATCTCGGAGACCATGACAGGAAATTGTTCAATAGCCTTAGCTGCTGCTGTGGCTCCCGCTACTTTAGTTCTGCTTCTACTAGTGTTGGCGGCCGCGCAGTACAGCTAGGACAACGTTGCGCACGGCAACAGTGACGTGAGACGTTCCGCTTGAGGCGGGTAATTTGAAGTGCGCTAACCAGACGCAGAGCACTAAAACGTGATTTTATTTCAAAATAAGCACTTCCTTGGCACAAAAGTAACACGACTTGTTTCCCGTATTGCTATTTCAACAATCAGCGTCGACCTAATAGTTGCGTTTAGAGTCCCTTTAAAATTAGTACTGAAGGGTACATGACGGGAGGCAGAGGTAGATTTGGGTCAGACTTTTAATGTTCAAAGCACGAAACGTACACCGTTTTGAATTATAGAAAGCACGGCGTTTGTTTTTCAGCAGTCATAACACGTTTCTGATGAATATGATAGGGACGTCTAGATATGTGAAACGAGAGAAACATTTATGGTTCACTCTTTCTTAATGGTTGTTTTTTCGGTGATGCGTGCTTAGCCACTACGTTCTTTGGAGGTTAGTTTGCAAATATTGTTGTTTTATTTATTGAAGTATATATATAGTTTGCACCCACTATAAGGACAACATTAGTACACGACTGAGTTCAAGATTTGCCACACACCTTTTTAGGCTGCTCTGGAAGACCGATTAAAAATAGTTAGAACGGATAAACAATCCAATACAATGGGATAGATATTTTAAGAGGCCCTTCAACTATGTCCCATCATCTACGCCCGATTTATTACCGTAAGGATCGCTTTCGTCGTCCAGTGCTGGCCGCTTGTCTGTTTTGTCTGGAATCTGGGGGAACTTGTGGTCCTGACGGATTTGTAGGTTTCCACGGTGTTACCGATCCGTGGGTAACAGCTGGACCTTGAGGTACTGCGAGAAATGGTATTTGGCAACACGTTACACCATGCCTATATAGTCCTATCATGATTGAAATTGGCCCTACATTGTGCGTCTCTACTCAAAATGAACTCGCATACATGGTGCCTTGCACGTTCGGCTAAAATGGCTGGATAACTAAAGTCATCTAGCCATCATCGGTTTTGGGCCCGAAATCCTGCTGGGTTTGCTCAGGCATCCTAGTTCAAAGAACTTCGGTGAAAAAAGCTATACATGGAGCTTTTCACCTATGGGGTCCCGATCTAGGGACTTCAACTTGGTATGTATAGCGTTCCTAAGTTTGCCCACACCTCTCCCGTATGATAAATCTTTTTCACCACCATCGCGTTACGGCAATCCATATACTGCATTGCTTTGTTAAAGTCCACTGTGTCTTTTTCTTAATGTTTCCTTCAAACCACAAGTAAATCGCGAAAGAGCGCTACAGTTTAAAGATGGCGTGCCAATAATAGAATGACCGGCAGTCAGTGTTGCTGCACAGGCCACAAAAAATGGCTGTTTTTGCGCGACGAGAAAACGAGGGAAGGGGTCAGGAGGAGTGCCAATGTTCTTTGCTTGAAAGTTTTGAGGTGAGCCACCCTGTGCACAAGTGCATGTACAATGCAATATATTGTAGAAAATTGTGAATGTTAACAGCTATATATGAAGAATATTACGTGTTGAAACCAATGGTGTAGCCGGAAAATATATCTTGAGGGGCGAAGAGGGGGGGGGGGTGATGACTTACCTTACATATGTTCGTATGTGTGCGTCTATATGTACTCGTGCAAAACCTAAAAGAATGATAGGGTATGAACCACCTCCTCTGCCCCCCCCCCCTCCTTTTTCTTTGGTACACGGTTCAGTGAAAATATCACTGGCGTGTCCTAAGATAGAGCCCAAAGAACACTCACGGGCTTACGTGGTGAGATGAAGTCTAATGTGTAAGAATGATTGCTCGTGACTGGTGAACTGCTGTGGTCACGACGTCCTTTCTCGATTCATCTGTTCGTCGTGAAACTGGTTCGAATATTGGTCAAAGAAAGGCCGCTAGTTTTCCGGAATGGAATGCAGAGATAGATACTTATCGCAGCCAGTTTTCTTCCTGCACTCTGGTCCTCCATCGTATGTCTCGAGCTCGCCATACAAAGCGGCTTACTGTCGCGATCGTGTGTTTGTTGCAAAGCGTCTCCGTGCGTGTGTGGCGTCCTCTAGTGCACTCTGTACTCACCGCCACCACTGCTTTCCCGATGAGGCGAGACCGGCCCGGTTCCGTAGGAGTTCCCGTGTGCCTGCTGGGGTCCCACGCCTGCGCGACAACGAAACGACCAGTCGTGAGCCGGACAGGGGAACGAGCGATTTGTGCAACTCACACGTCACGGGCGTATACATTACAGCGAATGCCCTGTGTTAAGGTGAGACATCGAGCGCAATTTCACTTAATGAATAATCCAACCTGCACTCCGCGAAAAGCGTTGATGCAGCGAAGCTAATGTCCTTCTTCGTCAGGCTATCGCCTTTCTACACTGTTCTTCTCTAGCATTCATTTACATCACATTCCCCCTTTCCCGAAATGTTAGCAAACTGGAGACTTCTGGTTAATCATCCTGCAGTTTATTTGTATCTGTTTGCAATGATTACTAAGTAGAAATGGTTAAAGGGCAGCGAGAAACTTGTACGAATCTATCCTGGTCCATTGTCTCGGTATATTTCTCAGTATTTCCAAGTACTGCTAGTTCTTTTTAAGAATTTTTCGTCCGTATTCTAGAACGTCCCTTCACTCAAGGCTTCACTTGAGAAATCCAATGGGAGCGCCGTCTCTAGGCACGGCAAGTCACTGCATATGCTGCGATTTTGTGTGTAGCGCAGCATCATTTTCAGCCGAGCGGTGGCGCAGTGCTCAACTCTGTCAAGTGAAGGGTGGATGTCGAGTCGAGGAGCGTTTGTGAATACGGGTGTTTGTGGTGTATCATTGCAGTTTGTCCGACCCTCCAAGTTATACGGGTCAGCGATAGGCTCATTCACGACAGCGCTGGAAGGCGGCTGGCGATGCAGTGCCACCCACCGTGGCCCATGTTGGGGAGAAAAGTACAAGCCACCGTCAACATGGCGAAGCCCACCCGTCTACCTCTTCTTTATTGTGAATGCACTGCTATAATGCCCGATGATGATAATGTCACTCCTCGTCCTCTACACAATTTGCAACAACCTGTATCACCTGTCCAGTCGATCAATGATGTCATGCATACTCATTGTGTTACTACAGAAAAGAAACAGCGTTGCAAGTGCTGCTGCTGCTTCTCATGACGCCCGCATTACGGAAATGAATAGTGTAGGAATGACTGAAACATCATCGCTTTTGAAACGTTTTTGTTTGGTATACATTAATAATTGTATTATGGACCAACCTCAATAGCTCAGTGTCCATGGCGTTGAGCTACTGATTCTAACAGGTCGTCGGAGTTTAGATCCTGCCCACGATGGTCGCATTTCAACGAAGGAGGATCAGTGCAAGAAATACTCTCGATATATGCACTGAATGCGCGTTGAAGAATGTCAAATGGGCAAAAGTATTGCGGACACCACCACAATTCGCCATGAAATTGGGCTACAGATGATAGCACAGCCATGTTTCTGTGAATACGTGGTCACTGATGCGTATCAAATGCACGCATCGATGCTTCGTCGTGAGTGGTGTGCGCCAATCGTCGGCGAATCAAAGGCGTTACACTGCAGCGTGCTGGTAAAATTTAAGCCCTCTATCGCCGAGTCAATGCACGAAGTTCGTCCGATGTTATTATTACGTTTGAGAGTAGCGCAATGCGCCAATAAACGGGATGCTGGTCCTCGGTGATGGTCTGCATGCATTAGCAGACTAAATGACGTTTTTCGTTGCTATACTTTGTACGTGTTTGGCTTGCGGTCCACCTACAACGCAGTGCTGTAGCGTGATTAAACTAATTATATATTTACTTCTTCCTCGAGTGAATAAAGCTGTGTACCTGCACAATGAGGTAAAATAGCACTGTGTGCACGGATTTGCGTTTTTCTTTTTATACAGGACTCCACAAAATTTAAGAAAGTCGCCAAGTTGAGTCAGGAAAGCTGCATGGCTTACAGCGCTTTAGCTCTATGGAGACATTTTACGAATACGGGCTTGTTCCAGTTACAGTTCAACTCAGAAGTTTAACCTGCATTACAGTGACTCAGCAATGTAACAGTTCAACTCAGAATTTTCACCTGCATTAGAGTGACTCAGCAAAGGTTCATTTATTTTAGGGGACAAAAATGCCTTTTTCTTAAGCGAATAATGTCTGCTGTCATCCGTCATTTTATAATAATGCCACACAAACGTACAAGGTTGTAAGGCATTCTCTGGAATGCTTTTAACATCTGGGTTACTTAACATGTATCTAAATCTAAGCACCTGGGTGTGTTTGTTTTGTACAAATTCGGCCCAACTTTCAATTACGCGCGTTAGCTCATTTTTATCACTTCGATGTCGTAATTAATTTTTGTTCTACGATGTGCTTGAACCATAAACTGGCACCCGCACTGGAGTAATTGTTTAGAACGGCGGGTACGAAGACCAGACAATGCGAACTCAACTGATCCTTAATGTATACATATAGCAAGGCCGTGCGCTTTTGTACATTATATTAGGGATACGTTCCAGCAGTTAATACTGCGCCAACACAACCACACAAACTGACCTTTGAGGACATACATGTGCACGCGCACTGGGAAACACGCTGTCCTAGAAGACGGTGGAACGGGCAACCTAGGCGCACTTTATTCGGAAGCCCGTAGGTGGTGACTCCACTCGCGGTCATATTTTGACTTCGTCAGATTCGAGTGTACAAGTTCACGATAAAACAAGCGCCAATAAGTACGAACTCTCAGAAAGGCCGCTTAGCCTTATACCGACATGCCCAACTGGCAGTGATCCGAGTGTATAAGTTTTAAAGGGGCACTGACACCGTCGAGAAGTGAACAAGATGGTGAAAGTGTGTGTCATGGCCTGTGTAACTTGCTAAGTAATAAGGGCTGCAGCGCGAGCACGAAGGTGCTAGAAGAAACAGACGAAAGGCGAGGCATGGAAGGCAAAGAGGACAACACGAGTTGTCCTCTTTGCCTTCCGTGCCTCGCCTTTCGTCTGTTTCTTCTAGCACTTTTGTGCTCGCGCTGCAGCCCTTATTACCGAGAATTCAAACCAACTAGCCCAAATAGCCATTCTTCTTCTTTAACTTTCTAAGGTCAAGTGACTGATGTGCTGCAAGCGAGTTTCTCTGGAAGCGGCGAACGATCAACTCTCCACAAAATTTGGGGATATAATTGGAAACTACTTCAAAAAAGCTCACCATGCATCCCACGGATTCCGGTAATCACATGATACGATGGAACCTCGTGAGAACGAAATGAATGTTATGTTCGCGTTTGAGATTAACATGGAAAGTGTATTGAAACTCCTATGCTACAGCTATAGGTATTTGAAGAAGCGTTTATAGGCTCTCCTGGGGCGTCAGTTCAGGCACCTGACTCCTGTACACTTTTAACATGAACGTCCTTTGAGGTACCTTTCTGCAGTTGTTAGTTACATTAGACACGTTTGTTACATTTTCATACGCGCTGCGCTATATTCCAAGGAAGCGCATCCTTCGAAGGCACCTCAACTTTCGTGTTCTCTTGAATACATCTAGGCAGAGCTCTTCACCCCCCCCCCCCCCCACTTTTTTTCTTGTTTTAGTTCGAAATCAATCATACACGTCTTACCCCTCTCGACCATTGTGTTTTTGTAAAAAAACTAAGTTTAACGTTCAGTCAAGAATATACACATACCTGGAGGATAATAGTTAGGCCCATTGGGATATCCCCAGCCGCCAGCACCGTGAGGCGGCATGGACTGGTGAGGAACATACGGAGATGGTCCTGCATCGACAGTGAAGGAAAGTTACACTCATGCTCCGCCGTTGTGGTCTATGGCGCTCGGCTTTTAATCGGAAAGTCGCGGGATCGAATCCTTGCTGGAGCGGCTGCATTTCCTATGGAGGCGGCAGTGTTGTAGGCCCGTGTGTTCAGATTTGGGCGCACGGTAAAGAACCCCAGGTGGTCGAAATTTCCGGAGTCCTCCACTATGGCGTCTCTCATAATCATATGGTGGTTTTGGCACGTTAAACCCCACATACCAATCAATCAATCGGCCTGATGCAACGACCCGGCTCATGCACTGGCATTTTTTCTAATCAGATAGCCTTAGACATTGATTATAAATTTGAAGCTGCCATTGTGTAGTAATGCACCATCGTAGGAACACAAGGGTCTGTGACGTAATCGGGTACGTAGTCATCACTAAAAACACACATTAAGCATGGTATGAGTTGTTTGACTATAACGCAGTCGGCGTTGATAACCGATTTTTTTATTGTTGTTGTTTAGCTTCCCAAAACCACCATGTGATTATGAGAGACGCCGTAGTGGAGGCCTCCAGAAACTTCGACCACCCGGGGTTCTTTAACGTGCACCTAAATTTGAGCTCACGGACCTCAAGCCTTTTCGCTTCCGTCGAAAATGCGGCCGCCGCCACTAGGATTCGATCTCGCGACCTGCGAATGAGCAGCCTAGTGCATTAGTCATAAGACCACCTGTTTCGGGTCCGTTAATAACTGAGAAACAGGGTTAATTCTCGTTTGTGCTTGTTCTAGCTTGAAATAAGGCACTTCCTATCTCCTCTCCACCATTGTTCATTTAATGTACTAACTAATCTAACGAGCAATCAAAAATTTACCCAAAGAAATCTTTATTGCATACCTGGAGGGTAGTAGACCGGCCCATTGGCATATCCTTGGCCGCCACCATTATGAGGCGGCAAGGACTGGTGAGGAACATAGGGTGATGGTCCTGCGTCGAAAGCGAATGAAAGTAACATTCGTTAGGAAGGAAATGACAGACAAGTCCACTCGTCAACCGGTCTGATGAAACGGAGCCGGCTCTTGCATGCGATTTTTTTTAATCGGACAGCCTTAGGCATTCATTGGAAATTTGAAGCTGCCGTCGTGTGGTAAATGTGCCATCGTATATTGAAACCAGTGCCTCCTCTATTAATTCAATGCCAGGCAAATGCTCCCGATCCAGCCTTAAATCACCTTCTGCTCTAGCCCTTCCCTGCTCTCTTTGCGGTCAACAGGGAGAGAAACCAGTATGTGGTGCCTCACGACGGAAATCATATAAAGTAATCTTTTGATAAGTTGTGTACATATCATGTTCACAATGTTGGCACTCACGCTGACTCTGTAAGAGATACGGTGTTTTGAGATAGCGTATTGCCGTCATAGTGACACTATGCGGGCACCCAAAGGGGAAGCGTAACTTCGACGCTGATGCATGTGCTGATGTTAAAAGCACCGTGAGGCGGTAGGCAGCAGTGTTTCGAACCCCAAAGAAGGAGAAGAAAGGAAGAAATCTGACAGACGTATTATATTGAAAAGGGAAACACGTCTATCGCAACTCAGTGGAAAACGCTCGCACATATAGGTGTGACGCAAGGAGCCCTAGCCTACATTTGGTCCTACATTACGAACTCATCGAACTAAGGTGGACTGATGGCTCCCGTTGAGGAGGGGCGTTTGCACTGGCATTGGTAGCAATAAAGAACCCGTCGGTAGCAACATAAGGACTTGTGACGCAACAAGGCACAAGCACTCTGAAACACAGGTTGGGCGTGGTTTGTGTTTGTACAGTCGGTGGTGATAACAGACAAACAGGGTTGATTCCCTTTCGTTCTTGTTTTAGCTCGAAATCATGCACTTCCTATCCCCTCTCCACTAATGTTCGATTGATGATTTAAACGTTTAAACTAAAAAAAAAATGTTTAAGAATATGTACAAAGACTGTAAGACATACCTGGAGGGTAGTAGTTCGGCCAATGAGGATATGCCCGGCCGCCACTACCATAAGGCGGCAAGGGCTGGTAAGGACCATATGGTGATGGTCCTGCGTCAGCAGTAATGAAAGTTATATTCATCAGGAAGGAAATGACACACAAGTCCACTCGTCTACAGGTTTGATTAAACGGTCCGGTGCCTAAATATGCATACCTTGAAGATTACATGTCTACGCTGTGTCTTTTATCTGTCATTCATCAATTTTTACGTTTCTCTATACAACCGTTAATCTTTCTCCTCTCCTTGCAGCAACTGGCACCGTGTTATAAGGGCTGTCGCCTTTGTGCAATTACTCAAGTGGCCTCCAGCGCGTTTCTCACGGTTGTCAAAGTCGCATACAGGAAACATATTGGTCAAGTGGAAGAAAAGCATCGACCTTGCATCTACTTGTGCAATGAGGCTTAGCTTCAATTCATTAAAATGGTTGTTTACTGAGAGGGGATCCGTTGCATAATTTGCAGCCATCATGCAAGCATGGCTTATCAGAGAAGGCAAGACGGGAAATACCGAACCACGTGTACTGAACTCTTGCCTCATGAAAGGAGTCATTCAGGGTTTATGAAATACATGTAACTTGGCAAAGTTCTCGTTTTCCACAGGCTGTATGACGGCTTCAAAGCGTTCGTGCCGGGATGCCGCTAAGTAGTAACACTGCTATGACGATACTCTGCTCACAACAGGTCATACAAATGAGGGGCATGGGAATCCCTTCAAGACTAGTTTACCAGGTGGCGCTCCATGTCGTGCCCTCATGTGGGAGATTGCATCCTTGACATTTTACTACATAATACTCCTCCATCAACTTTCCAATTCCCCCCCCCCCCCCCCTGTTAGCGACTTCCGCTCTACAGTCAGTCTTTTTCTTCCACTCAACCAAGGTGACACGCAATTAAGTGAACCGGAACTTTTCGAGTTCTATTTATGATCACAGAAGGCTGTAGAATAGCGGGCCAGGTGTTCTATACGCTGCCACGTGCCACTTAACATAGTAGACAAATTAAGAATAGGGTTCTTAGCATTAGCGTCACTAGAGCGTTACTTGGGTACAACACGCCTTTGCCTTGACGTGGGTACCCTTGAGGATAGCGTGTGACACATGCGTATACTGGAGATAAACGCCTACGCAAAGCATTGCGTACCGGTTTTTAAAACTGCCTAATACGCCCGCTTTGAACAGGGGACAAAAAGGCCCTTCTTTCCTACTGTGCTTACTCGTTCACTGGTTTACGCTGGCGGCACACACGCGAGTGAGGAACAGCGCCCACATCCCGGCCTCCTAAGCAGCGACAAGATGAGAACGGCATTGTGCGCCTGTACGTGCTCTATTCCTTCTTGCTCGTGTTTTGTTGTTGTGCAAAATGCCATACACATTGCAATACCAACTCGCCCAACGCTCTGTTCGACAAGATGACGAGCAACTCCTGGAAGGGTGCAAATATTGCGTGCGCACTAGTTCGCAATGCGCGTGGCTAAAAGCGTCAGCACTGTTGAGCGTCATCTCCGTGAAAAAGGCGAGTGGAATGGCTGGAAAGGAGCGATATGTTGGATGTGAATACAGTTGGTCACGCTTTTGAAGGCGTATATTTACTATGCTAGTGGGGCACAAACAAAATCCACAAGAAAATTCTTTACAATGTACGAAAGACTTCAATGAGACACATATATTTATTAGACAGGTCGATATAGTTGTTGTCATCGTTGTCATGACCCTATCACCTTTTCTGCAATGAAATTACTTTTCAAGCATACATGAAAGGTGCCTTACACAGCATGCATGCCTGCTGGCGACCGTTTATTACGTTCGCCTTCATTTCGTGTGCGTTTTGTTGCTCATTTCTCGATGTGCAACGCCATATTTACCCGTAAAACGTGTCAACAGATAATAAATGTGCCAATTTATCTGTATCATGAGAACCAATCTTGAGAGAAGTGTAAGCGAACTCACAGACGTTCCGGGTAATCGTTTTTTTGCCTTTGCTCTAAAGCTTCAGCAGTAAATTTGGGCTGGTATTTGTTAGGATAGTAAGTTACGAAGAAACTTACCTGCGTGAACTAAATACTGAGGTTCTTACAGCTATTTCTCGCTTCTTTTTTATGCAAAAAAAATTGAGAGCGAGGGGACCTTGCGCTCAGCATCGTGAGGAACGCATAAGCGTGCGGTGTTTAAAAGTTATGGTGCTACTTTCATGAAGTAGGTTGCAATGACAAGGGCAAGTGGGCATCGATAGATTTAGTCAGTACTGTACTCCGTATCCTATAGCGGAAACCTGCACGGACATCCGGTATTATTTCTGCTTGTACACAACGCACAGTTCTCTGGTATTCTTGTTCATTGGGAGTCTATATCGCTTGTCACCGCACCGACTGGGGAAGCAAAACAGAAGTGTTTGCCTTCGTTGCTTAGGCTTGCTCGACGAGAAGGTTTTTGCAGCATCAACATGCAGGAAGAGATAACCTTAGAGAGAGAGAGAGAGAGAGAGCAATACGTCATCAAGCTTTTCAATTGAAAAGCTTTTGCAACGTAGTGCATTTCTTAATTACGCCCCTCCACCGCAGTATCGACCAAGCACGTGACCTCTGAGTGTCTATGGCCGGGAATTCCTGTTCGGTTGCGCTGCCCTGTAGAGTTGCCTAGAACTACCACGTGCTCCAGCCTCGAGAAAGATGTCTGCCCATCGAAACGTCAGTTCCAGCACGCAACCCGCGTTTTCGAATTTCTCATCGCAAGCTTCCATCTTCCTTTCTTGCCGTTCTCATGAGGCTGTCAAGTATTTCGTTGATACTGACTTCTTTTTTCTTTTTGTTTTAACTGTGGAGCTGTTTGAGCTTACTACGAAAACTTTACTTTTCGCACAAATGCAGAATTGGGTATGCATATAAGAAATTGGGCAAGCCCTACCGAGTACAGCCACACGAGCGTTTTAAACGAGAACTCTGCTCGGCATGCAGTATGTCGAACACATGCGTGCGCAAGAAAAACACACATATAAAGAGGTTAATATAATAATGATTGTCGTGGTTTAACGTCCCACGATAACCATGCGATTGAGAGACGCTGTAGTAGAGGACTCCAGAAATTTCGACCGCCTGGGATTTTTTAACGTGCACCCAAATCTGAGCACGTTAGCCTACATCATTTTCTCCTCCATTGAAAACACAGATAAAAATGAAGAGAAAGAAAATAGGAGAAAGATAACGAGAGAGAAGATATTTGGAAAGAGAAAGAGATAGAGAGAGAGAAGTGAATATAGAACGAGTGAGAAAGAGGCGGGAAGAAGTTGAAAAGAAAGACAGAAAGAAAGAAATAAAGAAAGAAAAAAGAAAGCCAAGAAGCTTGGGTTTTCCTTCAGGCTTGGCACCTCTTGTGCGAAGATGCCGTATTTTGTTGTTCCAAAATCGCGTTCCACTTGGATCTCTCTCAATTTTTCCTTCCCCCATACACATTACCATCATGGGCTGGCGTGGTGACATTGCAGTGGCCCAGAGACATCAGCCGAAGCTGCGCACGCGACATATTCGCGTACGTGCGTTCACATCGTCATTTACCTCCTGATCCGTATGCAGAATCTGGGCAGCACACCATGGGCATGAGCCGTTTGAAGCCACAGAACCTCGGGGCCTTCAAGCGGGCGAGGCCACTCTTTACCGGTCGAATGCACTGGCTCGTCGGCATGCACGTGCCCGGGAACGTAGCCCGAGCCCCAAGGGTTGTTGGCCCAGCACGGACCTCGTTGCGCTGCTGGATGAGAAATCGTATATGCGGACAATGTCGTACGCATCACGCTGGCCACTGAGCAAGCGTCACCTCGTGACAGAACTGGCATCACTGACTGCAGTGAAAAGCCCGACAGTCCCCTATCTACCAATCTTACGCATTACTATCAGCCGTACCAGGATTCACGTATATACTCACGTGTACTCATACGCTTTCCGAAGCAGTATCGTTGATACACCGTTTCAATATTTATTGATCGGAGGCGCAAATTACATAGGGTGTGCCGTGTCGTCCCACAGGCAACTCTTCTTGGAAAGTTCTTAATAAATGTAGCTTACATTAATTATTAATACCTAAATATTGATTTACAATACTGACCGTCTCTACTGAGACCTATAGCAGGTGGGCACGCTGTAAAGATGCTATGATTGCTTATCATAGTAACAAATCAGCGATACGGAAAACATGAGAAACATAAGCTTGGCGCTTTGTACATGAGCAACATTTACACTACATAATATATAAACAAAATACAAGTGCAGGCAAAGTGGCAAGTTTAACAATAACGGCTGCTTACATGACTACTTACAGGACATACAGGTACATACTGATTTCATTACTCCTGTCACAGGCTATTTACACGTGCTATGAAATATTCTCTTCTCTTTAAAAAAAATGTGCTCACTGGTATGCAACCACACATAGCTCGTATTGTAGCAGGAAGTATATAACGAAAGGCGCCACGAAGGACACTGATTATACGTAATATAATCGTGTTGAAGAGCATTGATACCACGATCGAAAAAACTAATTCTAGGCCAACGGACTCGTGAGTCCGGCTCAGGATTACTTGAGGAAGTCTGAGTCCAAGTGTGTCCAAAGCGCAAGATATATATATATATATATATATGCGCTCACGGCTGGTTATTTTTTTTCATCCACTTTTCTTTCCTCTTATTTACATTCCATTGGTTCTAATAACATCCCCTGCACATTCCTTGGCATTACTGTCTGTTAGAACTGATTAATAATGTGTTAAAACACGGAAAAACGAGCCCTTACGTATACTCTTCTTTCCCTTATTATATATATATATATATATATATATATATATATATATATATATATATATATATATATATATATATATATATATATATATATATATATTTATGTATATATGTGTGTGTTTTGAGTGAGTGTGGGCGAGCGTAACTTTTCTTTGCCGACCTAAGGTGCTTGTCAGCAGCCACGGTGGCTCTCTGTCCATGGTGCGGTGGTGGTGCTGACGACTGTGAACGGACACAGATGTGGATGCCTAGTTATTCTATACAGCGCAAAAACGAGACACAAACGAGACCACACAACACAGGTGCTGACTGCCAACGGGGCTTTATCACGCTAACGCGAATATATAGACAGAAAATAACAAGTGAAGAGAAATGATAAGCATTATAAAAGGATGACGAGGTAGCTGCAAGCTTTAGAATGTGCTACTTTTGCAGATACACAATTTTGTTGTCAAGTAACTGGGTGAACGGTGAACAACCCACGAAGGCTTGGGCTTGATCATGGCGCGTAGTTTTGGCCTTCGAGTGACGCATGTGCACGCACACTTAATGAATGCTGCTAATTCTTGTGGCTCGCCTGATAAAAGTCATGTTTGTCGTGTTTGCCTAACGTGCACACTTTCTTTTTTTTATTGCGCGAAACGTACAAAGTACTTTTAATCTCATATGATGCAGCTCACACTGTTAAGTTAAATAGATTCGGTCAAACCGTTGGTAAAGCGACTTCCTAATGGCTCATGTCTCCTGAACTCTTCTTGTCGCTCAACATTTTTAACTAAATATAGCTTTTGTAGCAAAGACATATTGCGTCGAGATTAGTTCTGATGCTCATGCGTTAGGCTTAAAGAAGAGCTAGTGAGAATTGCGAGAACAAATGATACAATAAAACCACAAATTGTGTTCCTCCTTTTAGAGAAGGATAATTACGAGTCAAACGAATGATAAATTGGGCCAAACCATTTTTTCTCATCAACACTTCAACGCTGACACCAATTTCATTGAGAGTCCCGCTATTTGCGATAATGACAGAGATTAGTGACGTACGAGACTTGAAGTGTTTGCAGTTGTACACGCTGTCGTCGCACAGAGCTCACGGAATAGCTTTATAACTTGGAAACACCCCTGAAATGAATTATGTATATACTAGTAGTATAAAAACTAATTATGCGAAAAAATATTCAAAAGCTTAGTGCGGTCGAGCTAACTTTTTAGATATTCTGTCAACGCAGAAAGTCAATCACAGTGTTCTGTTATTTTTACTTTACTTCAACAGTTACGCACGTGTATCTTTTAGTCATTTAATCACGAACACCAGAGTAAAATAATGTCGTTTAAGAAACGAACATCAAGCAGAAATATCAAAAAGAAAGGATTTCATAAGTTATAACTGGACGGTGCTTTTTAATCACCACACTCACCTTTTTCTATGATAAAAAAAGCAGCCCCGCACCCGAGGTTAGCAACGAGGACCAGGAGGCCTAACGCCAATGGGAGGACGCGCATCTCCGTTCTGTGTCGTCGACAACGATGGTGACTGCACACTTTCAGATCGCACCAAGCTGCGTGCGTACCTTTGCGAAAGCACCAAGAATGTGCCACTAGTTTATACCCCAACAAACGTCGGTGTACCTCGTATATATATATACATCTGCTTAGATGTGAGAAAAAGGGGGACGCCTATCACACCGACGTCTTCTTGAGGGTTGGCGCTGTGGCAGAAGGGTATGGGAAAGCCCTTGCACGCGGCTGTAATGCGATATCGAGACGTTTGCGATAGTCTGCAAAACAAGATGTTCAAAAAAAAGGGGAGGGGGAGGGCAGGCATCGGCAATGGTGTGCTCGCAGTGGTTTATACGTTCCGGCAACGAAGGCTCATTCGATATTCAGCAGCAGCGATATCTGTAGTTCCTCATTCGCGCTGTAGGTTACAGACCACACGTTTTGCAATAGTGTGATACGTTACAGCAACGAAGGCTCATTCGTCGTTCAGAAGCAGTGATATCTGTAGTTCCTCATTCGCGCTGTGGATTGCTGCCCATGCGTCTTACAATCACGTGATAGTGAGACGTGGGTAAGTCAGTGGAGGGGAGGTTGCACCAAAATGAATGGAGCCGTCGGGCATACTGTGTCTGCAAATTTGTACACGTCTCTTTGAAGCGAGAACGAAAGCTCGTTCCTTCGCTGTATTGGACCAGTTAGAAGATCCGTAATCTAACTATAATATTATATAATAATTATCGAGGTTTAACGTCTCAGAACCACCTTAGGGAATGAGAGACGCCGTAGTGGAAGGCTCCGGAAATTTCGACCTCCCGGGATTTCTTCAACGTGAACCCGAATCCGAGCCCACGGACCTCAAGTATTTTCGTCTCCATAAAAAATGCGGCCGCCGAGGCCGGAATTCGATCCCGCGACCTGCGGGTCAGTAGCCTTAGCCTCTAGACCATTGCGACAGGTGTTCCCTAACTCAAAGGGAACGCGTTCTAGTTCAACTGAAATATTAGAACACGTCGTTACCCTAACATTAGATTTGCCTTTTAAATCGAAATGTACTCTCGAATAATCCTGAGCTGCAACTGAGAACTTCGATTCTAAGGGCGTGGGCGATCGCTGGAGCACGTGTGGCAGCTATCCGCGGGTGGCTCGTCTACCTTGCAACGCGCTGTTCTCTCAACGCGAGAAAGACAGCGTGAAGCGTGTTGCTCTGCGTGGAGATGCGGTATTGTGATCCAAAAGATGGATCTGAGCTGATCCACAAGATTCAGCGGCCAGCCTTACCTCGTGTAGCATTGCACTTTATTGCTATCACATTCATTGCTTAACCCTTGCTGCGATTACCTTCTCGTCGGCACTTCGTTGGCAGCGTTGACGGGCCTTCCCACCGATACGATGGCAGCTACTGCCGTGTTCACAAAGTATAAGAACGAAGTCAACAGAGGTCATAAGGTGAAGGGTATAGTCTCAGTGGGCGACACAGTAATAGTGTACTGGATTTATGCTCATCGTTTGTTGCGTGACAGAGACCTCACGAGTGCGGCGGCTGTCGAGCCTAACGGGCGTAAAATATGGACCGAATAGGTGTGAAGATAAGCCACATATGTTGAAAGAATGTCTGCCCGAACGCAACAATGGATGGCACCGGGCAGGTGCCACTAACGCTTTCGCGTCCACTGCGATGCGGCCATTTTCCTCGATAAGCGCACACCCGAGTGTCAAAAGGCAGATTTTTCAATAAATGCCAGTGGCACGCACGTGATTCTAATGGAAGGGTTTAGCCAGTCGCTGAAAACCCACGCGTCGAGAAAAAAAAACGTATAATTCCACAGACTGTGCAAATTGATGTTATGCGAAGCACTCGGCAAAGAGCTGCTTACATCACCTTGTTTTTCTTCGCGGGGCATTTGAAGACATTTATCATGAAATAAATTCCGTTATGTATCGCATGTTTGTCATGCACGCGTGCATGTGCAATGATTGATTGATATGTGGGGTTTAACGTCCCAAAACCACCATATGATTATGAGAGACGCCGTAGCGGAGGGCTCCACAAATTTCGACCACCTGGGGTTCTTTAGCGTGCACACAAATCTGAGCATACGGGCCTATACAGAATTTTCGCCCGCATATAAAATGCAGCAACCGCAGCCGGGATTCGATCCCGTGGCCTGCAAGTCAACGGCTAAGTATACCTTAGCCACTAGGCCACCATGGCGGGGCATGTATGTATAACCTGTCATATGCAATGCCCATGAAGCGTACATTCTGATATATACAACGCATAACCTACCACTTCTGTTCGTAACGCACTCTTGCCTTGTAGTGGAGATGCTGTTATATACCAGGTCAACAAACGGCCGGTAGCGCATCACGAGCGTGACATGAAAATCATGCCTTACATATAGTATTCATATCATTATTTTGATGTTAACGCCTGTCGTTTATGCTCGTCG